TCTCCAGGACCTTTCCAAGAGGACGGAGAGTGGCCTAGCGATAACATCCGCCAGCTCCCTCAGCACTCGTGGGTGCATCCCGTCAGGGCCCATGGATTTGTGGATGTCAAGTTTGGACAAAAGATCTCGAACCCGATCCTCCTCCACCAAGGGAGAGTCTTCCTTTCTCCAGCCTTCCTCTCTTGTCCCCAGGGTCTGGAATTCCTGAGGGCTCAGGGCCTTAGCAGTAAAGACTGAAGCAAAGCAGGCATTCAGCAACTCTGCCTTCTCTATATCCTTTGTCACCAGGGCACCCACCCTGTTCAGCAGCGGGCCCACGTTTTCCCTAGTCTTCCTTTTGCTCTCGATGTATTTGAGGAAGCCCTTCTTGTTGTCCTTGACATCCCTTGCCAGGTTTCATTCCAACTGGGCCTTAGCCTTCCTTGTCACATCCCTGCACACTCTGACAACGTCCCTGTATTCCTCCCAAGTGGCCTGTCCCCTTTTCCACATTCTGTGTACTTCCTTCTTCTGTTGGAGTTTTGCCAGGAGTTCCTGGCTCCTCCATGCACGTCTCCTGCCCGCTTTGCTGGATTTCTTACTCGGAGGGACGCACCGCTCTTGAGCCTGTGATGCTTGAATATTAACCAGCTTTCTTGGACCCCTCTTCCTTCTAGGGCCCTAGCCCAGGAGATTCCCCTAAGCAGGTCCCTGAAGAGGCCGAAGTTGGCTCTCCTCAAGTCCAGGGTTGCAAGCCTACTCATTGCCCCTGCTTCCTCCTCTTTGGATCCTGAACTCCACCATCTCATGGTCACTGCAGCCAAGGCTGCCCCCAACCTTCACCTCTCCAACTAGACCTTCTTTGCTTGTTAGTGCAAGGTCTAGCAGCGCACCTCTCGTCGTTGGCGTCTCCACCACCTGGGTCAAGAAGTTATCCTCAACGCTCTGCAGGAACCTCCTGGACTGTTTGTGCCCAGCTGTGCTGCCTTCCCAGCAGATGTCAGGGTGGTTGAAGTCCCCCATGAGAACCAGGGCCTGTGATCGTGAGGCTACTTCCAGCTGTCTGTAGAAGGCCTCATCAACGACTTCCTCTTCCTGATCAGGTGGCCTGTAGTAAACCCCCACCACTGTGTCACCCATGCTAGCCTGCCCTTTAAGCCTTACCCATAGGCTCTCCACTTGCTCTTCATCCACCCCGAGGCAGAGCTCCATACATTCTAGTTGCTCCCTCACATAAAGAGCAACTCCACCACCTCGCCTTCCTGGCCTGCCTTTCCTAACAAGCACGTAGCCACCCATGACAGCATCCCAGTCATGTGAGCTATCCCACCATGTCTCTGTAACCGCAATGAGATCATGGCCCTGTGACCGCGCACAGATCTCTTAACTCTTCCTGTTTATTCCCCATGCTGTGTGCATTGGTGTACAGGCATTTCAGAAAGGCAAGTCACCTGGAGGTAGTCTTAAGTAAGGACTCTGTGAATCGTAATTCATACAAACGCAGGTGGTCACTGCTACTTATTCACATGTTTAAAGGTTTACTCCCCAACCTTAGCTCTCATGTGCTCTTGAACTTGTAACGAGAGAGGCATTTTAATTCCTTTTAAAGGATGGTCAGAGGAACCAGCAAGGGACATAAACTGGAGTAGGGCATGGTTCTGGATTAGACTTCTGTGGAAGGGTGCCTCTGCCTGTCAATCACTTGTTGATCATTTGGGTTTGAGAAGTTAAGGAAATGCGGATGAACCTAGTCAATCACTTCCTGGCATGCAGGTCGTTAGACTGTACCTGACTAGTGCCTTGAATAGACTTAGGTGGCCCCCTGAGGCTTGTCATGGAGCTTCCACTGTAAGAGTAAAGGCAGAATTAAACATGTGATAAAGCCTGGCATGAGAACAAAACACAAGCCTGTGGCCAGGGAGAGCAGGAAGAAGACAGATACCTCCACCTGCCCTGTATTTTTACGTCTAGCTTCAAGCTGCAGCAATGAGAATTCATCTAGGGCTGAGTCTAAGGTGTTTAGACAGTTAGCACAAATATTTTCAGATGCCTGAGATCTTTATGGACCTTACCTGTGAAGATGATCCTGTTCCCTGGCTTTTTGTTATGCTACTGATTCTGTATCTGAGGTTTTAAGTTCTCTGTATGGTATAAAAATTCTTAAGTCATTGTCTGAAATTCCTCCGCAATAAATGAGCGTAAACACCTGGAAAACAGTGGTATTCAAATATGATTTATTTTTCTTTCCAGCTAAAACAAAGTTAGCGGGAATGGAAAAGAACTTAACTCTCAATTGGAATAATCTTAAGGGCCTCTTATTGCGCACGTGTCAGTCTTTGGACTAGTTCTTGCACATATATAGTTTTCAATCTTGTACAGGCAAGGTTTTGATACACAGTGAGACTGAGCCTGAATTCATTTAGGAAGTCATTGATGAAGGTACCAGCTACTTTTGTTTTGAACACAAGATCATCTAACTACAGATATTCAATATTTTACAATGCAGTAATGCTATCAAGAGGCCACTGGTGATGGATGCTTGTCACTGTAAAGCTGCAGTGCAGAGATGTTTTAAGAAAGCTGAGGTAGAAGTTCCAGGTAATGTCATGTTAAAGCAGAGCTCCACTTAAAGACAGTATTTTCATATTTAGTGTGTCGAAAATGCTGGCCACTGATAAATTTGCAAGTTGCTAAAGAAACTGGCCTGCTAGATCTAATACAGAGCTTAACGCATGTAGAATGGAGTCTGCTATCTAGGAACCTTTACACCTTGGGCACGCTAGAGAATAACTCTTCAGTAGTGCATTATATAATTCTTACTGTTATGCCTTGACTTTTTCCAGGTCAGAGGCCCTGTTAGCAGGCAGTTCAGTAGTTGTGTTTCTTACATGTTGTTGGCAGAAGCTAGTATTCTACCTTTCTTTCCCAACTGCGTTTATTGAGGTTGATGCAGGGTGGCAGCTGCACATGATGGCTGTTGAATGAAATAAATAACATCCAGGCATAGGGAGGGGTGGAAAAATCATGATACCTCAAAAAAGTGCAACAGATCTGCTGTTCTTCCAAAAGCCCCTGATACTTGAGACACTGTTTTTCATGACTGTTGCTAGCCATACATGATGTTCAAGTCCCTATTCCCTTTTCAAGAAAACTTTAGTGCCGATTTCTCCTCCAGGCATCTGTGTTCAGAATCCACTCCAGCAAGAGGAAAGCAGCCTATAATTGAAAATTAAATGCAAAACTGAGCAGTGTGCACCTTGCTTGAGAGAAGGGAAATGCTCCTTTTCTTGTGCATCTGGGAAAGAGGGAGAAATACGTTCTCGTTTTACATTATTGATGTAGGTTTCAGGTGGTGGTAGCATCCTGTAGAATACTTATATGGGAGCTCTTGCAGCAAGTTGCGTTTAGGCATTTCCTGGAGAAGTGTCTCCTGTTAGTATATGAAGATACTAAGCCTTTTTAGAAGCCTATTTCATCGTGATTAAAATAGCTTCTTTCCTCATCCTACTTTCCTAGAAGTGATGTAGCTGTTAGTTTCTCTTCTTTTAAGAGAGTGGTGGTCCGAAGTTGTGGTGAGTATCTCAAAGCCTAAGGATGTACAATTGAGGGGTTTCAGATGGGGTCACAAAGCCTCAAGTAAGCAGTTCAAACTGAAATAGTGTCTGAAGAACATGTATTCGCCAAGTAAATCACACTATAAATCACTAGTTTGAATGCTCAACTAAAGTAACAGTTCACAGGCCCAGTCCTGGAAAAAGGTGTGTTGCCAAAAAATAAGAACAATGAAAAATAAGGAGTGAGTCACGCTTCCTTTTCTTCTGTCTACCTGATTGGCTAGAGAGAAGGTACCTGTATCTCTACCTCTAGCATTGACCTTCTATCCACCCATAACCAAATGAACACTTTTTTAATGATGTAGTTGAGTAGTCCTCAAGCAGCCCCAGACTGTCTGTCTCTCACCACCCTATGATAATTAGAAAGCCTTGCTGCTTTCTTAAGCAATGATGGTAGTTATTGCTGTCAGATAAAACTTAAGTGCCATAGGTGTTTGTTTGAAATATGGGAAATGTGAACCCCCACCCCATGCATGCGCGCTCTAGAAACAGAATGGGGAGGTTGAGGCATAGACTTAGCGCCTGGATAGTTTGTGTAATTAATGCCTGGAATCCCTTGAGACACAATGTAGCGCAAATATAAGGCTGTCCAAGTGTAATGAACACTCTTTTCTGTAAGAACTTCTGGGTTAAATATGAAACCATGAAAATATTCCTGTTACATAAAAGTGTGGGAACCAAAAGACCAAGTTCTGTAGAAATCTTAAGACGTATCTGCAAAATGCTGTAAACAAAGTTGCCATGCAGTTGATTTTGTGGAAAAGGGAGTTACTGATGGATGAATAGGGATACAGATTAACTTGGAAGTAACCTGTTAGATACCTTGCATATGGAGCTCCTTAAATGTAAACCACTTTTGTGTAGGTTCACTAAATTATTAGGGAAATATGGTGTGAGTCAGTTTTGAAATCTCAAGAGAATAAAAATTAACAACATCCGTTGATAAAGTATTTGCCTTGTTATTTCTCGGAAAAAAGTAGCGCTAAAACCAAGGCAGGGCTTATTTTTCCCAAGCTTTGCTTTGCTGTGCTAAGGGGACTGTCTGTTAGGATATAGCGCTAGCACTGAGCAACCCACTGCATTCCGGAGCGGCAGCTAGGAGTTTGTGAAATTTTGAGTTAGATATTGTCTTGTCTCTTTGTAATCTTGTTTCTGGTATTATAATGAAATGTTTATTCTGTCAAGATAGGAGTAAAAATAGTATTTGTAAACCTTGTCTGTTAATAAGTGATCTCAGTGTGAGCTACTGTGTCACTAAGAAAAGCAGATGTTTATCTAGTGGCTCATCATATTCTTAAAATGCTTACCACCTAACATGAGTAGTGGCTTATACCACATTGCAGGAGCTTGGTTGGAATCTGGTAAGGCTACTTAGTAGTTGAGTGGAGAGTGATATTTTCATGTTTTTTTCTATCCGTTCAGCAAGTAGCAGGAGGCATGAGGAAACAGCTTGCAACTTGAAAAACTGTGTGCATATATTGCATGCTTTAATCTGTAATCTACTCTGAATTTTGCTCTTTAAACTTTTTGGTTTCCTCAGCTTTGTTTACCACTGTCCTCAAATACTTCTCAGAATGTTTCATGTTACTATTTAGCACTTATTCTGCCGTGTCCAATCTAACTGGGTGAAAGCCTACTGCTGTTATATATGGAAGACTTCACATTGATCAGAAGAGATAAAGTATACATGGTGGTTACTACAGAAGAACTAGACACTATCAACTTGTTCCCTTTCTTCCCTCCTTATTCCTTCTTCCTTTAGTTTGATTTTCCTATTTAATCACCCTTTTTCTAGCTTTTTTTTTGTATGCAAGGAATTTGGGATAGGAGCTGGCTCTATGTTTGGAAGTGAAAAGAGAACTGGGAAGAAGTTAAACGAGTTTGCCAACAGTATTTTTCTTCTAATTTCAGCACTTTCTTCCGACTTGTGTATGTTACAATTAGTGATGTCTAAACAAAATTTGAATTTAACTTTGGTCTAAGATATATTCCTTTGGGATAATGCCTTGTACTTTCTCCAGCTTAAACGTTCATTTTATGTTGGTGTTGTCTGTAATGTAATAAATGTTATTAAGGCAGAGTTAGGATGCTTAGAAGCATCTTAGCTCGTGTTCTTTGCTCTTGTTCAATAATATTGATGTTTTCTCTTGCAACTGCTCAGTGTTCAGATTGTTGCATGCATCACTGCAGTGTTTTGACTTCTTGTTTTAGAGACTCAAGTAGTGTTATTCTTCTCTTGTAGGCCAGACCCTGGGTCTAGTCAGATTAGGCTGTGCTTGCAGGTTTTGAAAGCTGTCCAGAAACTGGCTCGTGAATCAACAATTATGGCGAGAGAGACCTGGGAGGTTTTGTTATTATTCCTTCTTCAGATTAATGACACTCTTCTAGCAGCTCCAACTGTGCAAGGTTTGTATTCAACTTTCATTTGGTTCTGTTACAGGAAAAAACTTTGGCTCTGCTTGCTGTTCAGCTGCCTGATGGGGGAAACCTGTTAAATGCTCTTGGTAGCCACGAGAGTGCAATAACTCATTCCTAATTCTGCCACTCTACTCTGAAATAAAGTATTGTCAGAAAAGACCGAACAGTTTGGGACTGAATCTGTTCTCCAAAATGGACTTCAGTAAAACAGTGGACTGTATACACAAACAGTATATGAAGACGGGTTTCAGATGACATTGTTTCCTGTCCTGTTTCACTGAAACGCATACGCCTTGGTTTTTGGCATGACTACTGGAAGATAGCATTGTCAGTATATACCCATTTGCAAATGAATAAATAAATATGGCATCAAGTATACTGTGCAATAGAGTACCATATTAATTAAAGTTAGTAGCTGAATTCACAGTATCCTGTAGTGACACATATATATGTTTGGACTTTATAGATAATTTTGGTCTTGTAAAAAGCTTAATTGACTGTAGGAAATAATCAGGAATTGCTCTTGAAAATGAAGACAATTTTAAGAATATTTATGCAATTATCACTTAAACTGAAACCCAAATATGTGAGATGTAATCATGACAGCTGTGAGATTTCTGCAAGATCAAAAGGTTCCTTGGGGAGATGATTGAAGTCATTTAGATTGAGTACTTACTAAAGGCATGCTTTGTTTCTGCTATAAGGTGGCATTGCTGAGAATCTGGCTGAAAAATTGATTGGCGTGCTGTTTGAGGTGTGGTTACTAGCTTGCACACGGTGCTTTCCGACACCACCTTACTGGAAAACTGCCAAAGAGATGGTGGCCAACTGGCGACATCACCCAGCCGTAGTTGAGCAGTGGAGCAAGGTTATCTGTGCCCTTACTTCCAGGTAGGAGAAATCCCTTGAAAATAAACATGCACATACTGGGAAGATCAGTTATAGTTGTTTTCTTTGGAATTTGTTTATTTGTGGAATGCACAGTGATCCAGAAGTGAGTGAGCAAATCAAGTGCATAATCAGAGAGACTTTACCTAGTGTTCTTGGCTTCTACTGTTCATGCATGTGTGTGTCTTCATTTCACAAGTGAACAGCTAAAATGGTTTGTTTGTTTTTGTGTAATCTCAGCATCTCTCTGGTATTTAACACTTCACAGCGTGAGTATATTACTCTCCATTGTTGTGACTTTTTCCTGATGCACAGAAGGGAGGGATGAACTACTAATATTAGAGTAGTATTGTAGTCTATATGTGTAATGCCAGTCACTACCAAATTTTTTACGTGCTGTTACTACCGTGTAGTATCTGCGTATTGCTGTGTTTGAGGTAACACTTGGAATTCTCCATCTACTTCTCTCCAAAGCTGAGGCAGTGCTTATACATGTCTGGCTCTTGTCCCTTGTCAGTAGGGACATAGGTGGGCCAGAAGCAGGCTGCAGTTTCCTTCCTCTGAGCAGTGGTGGTCCTCAAATGAGTGTCAGAGTACAGCTGTACCAAACCACATTAAGCATGGGGACAACGAGGATCTGTGGGCTGGGCTGCTTGAAAGGTTTGGTAGGAGGTCCTGAACAATGAGGGGAGTCTCAGTACCCTTAATCCTGTAGTGTTCGTGGTGTGGAGTCTTTGTGGAACGAACGTAGTGCTTTCCTCCAAAAGAATCAGGTAAGTTGGTTGGTGGCTGTGCCTCCTCCTTTCAACTCTCCTGAGACTTTAGTAACTGTTTGTCTGACAGGCTGAAGATGTATTAAAACTGCTGCATTCTGAGCAGTTCAAGTAGTATCACCCTTTCCTGCTTGCATGGGTTTATTTTAAATCAGTGAAAACTTTTACTTTTGAGGTACTTGTTAAAGTGTCAAATGTGGATTGATTTTCCATATTACGCAGCTACTTGTTAAACTGGTGGGGAAATAAAGCTGGGACACAAGTTCTGTGCATTTCCCACGCTATTTCTTTAGCTATTTTTAGTTCATTAGATGTAGCATTGCATAACAGAAAATATTTATGATTCACTGATCTGAAAAGAACAGCTCTGTCTCAGAACATGTGTTGGTGTTCTGCTCCATGCACTTCATGCCCACGTTTTATCTCCCACTGTTGACTAACAGTTTTAGTTCTGTTGATGCATAGTAATTTGCAAGTTTTCTGCGATATTTCCTTAGCCTGCTGTTCTGCTGCACAGTACTGTTGGTTTACATTTAATATATAAAAAGGGGGACTCCTTTGATGTTAGTTTTAAGTTTGGTGGTATTTGCAGTGGCATTCTTAGTACTTCAGTGGAGCTCCAACTTCAAACACTTAAAGTGTTGTTTTAGTAAATGGTTTTCTGAATTGGGTTATTAGCAATAAGCTGAGAGTAAGCATCTCAACTTAAAACTGTATAGAAGTTTTTTATTTGGGAATTGGTACACTTATGAAGTGGTAAAATCTATATCGGTGTGGGTATGACTTCACAGCGGGATAAAACAAGGGTCTTACTCATATGTTTACCGATAGATACTTCTTTTAACCCAATTGGATGCTTTACATCTATTCTAAGCGATTGTACTGCATGTGTGGATTACCATTTATTTCTACTCTCAGTCATTATGGAAAATTCTGGTTTTCAGTTAGGATGCAAATCCCATTCTCTGAACTGATTTCTTGCAGCTTGTAAAAGGAGAATTGGAAAGTGGTGCAGTTTGCTGCAGTCCAGAGATGAGAGGCTGCTCCTTAAGTTAGCAGGGGGACACTCAAGCCTGTCCTCAGTGAAAAGACAGCAGCTCCAGTATGGCTTGGCGTAGTGGATGCTCAGGCTAATGCTAGACTTTACTAAGTTGGTCAGAACTTGCTCATTCTGCAGCAAAAACATACTGTGCTGTGATTCCTGTAGAGCACTAGGTATAAATGCGTGCCTAGCGTACTGGAAAGCAGCTTCTGCCCAGCATGGGTCTGTGGATTTCTGTTTCGGTCCTAAAGGAGGCCTCGTGTCCTAGAGCTCTTCTCTTTTTTCTATCCAAACTAGTTGCTAGGATAGATTGACTCGCTACATACTTTGGGTGTCTTTAGCATTAGTTGGCTACCGGTTGCTGTAGTGCCCAGTGTTGTGGGGAGTAAATTTCCAGGAGAGGGAAAACAGTAGCTCAACCTATTTAAGTCTTGGTTTAGGAATCAGCTATAGGCTTCTGTTCTCCTCCCCTTTCTCCTAGTTGTAATGACTCTAGCTCTATAAGACATATGGGTTGTACAAAGTTCTATAAATGGGCATTGACAAATGGGCCATTTCTTGGCTATTACAGGCAACTCTTAGTTTAGAAATAAAGATGTGATTACTGAACCAAGAAGTAATGCTGAAAGTGAGTTTAGGCTAGAGAAAGACAAAAACTAGTTTCTAGGAGTACCAGGAGCCTGAGAAGTCACAGCTTGCATCTCTTCCTCCGAGAATACCAAGATCATGCTGATCAGGGAAATTAGTCTTTAAGTTTGCAAAATCGAGGATGAAATAGGGGTCACATAAGACAACAGTGGCTCAGAGAAGCTTAGCAGTGACTGGTCAGGTAGTTATAGTACTTTAGAGAAGGCTTCTTGGTTCATTTACCTAACCATTATCATCACAATATTGCATTGGTGTGAAGTCCTCTGTGGGTCTGCTCTTCCCTGTTGTGTAACTCCCAACTCCTGCAAAATGCAGTGCCTCTCTTCTGAAGAGCTTGCTGCTTTTTGCATTGCTTGTCTTGTACTTGATCTGGGATTGTATTGAGTGCTGCTCAGAGTGCTGTTGTAAATCACAAGTCATCAGTAATTTGGAATTTAGTCCTACAACCTCAAAGATATTTGTGTGTGTGACTTGCTGATGTCGTTGGATACTAGCCAAAGATCTTTGAGGTTATGAGCTAAATTATTTTAAGTTTTTCTCTCCCTATGTAATATCTTGGCAGTTATGTATGTAACTGTATTAATTGGTAATCCCCCTGGCTAAACAGATGGGAGAGCTGCTGTGGAGTGTTATGCCTTAGCAACAGTTTGGTTTCGTTTGGCCTGTGAGCGTGCTCCAAGGCATGTGGTTTTCAAAGTTTTATGAGGACTAAATGCTTGTGTAAAACGAGGGTCTCTAGGAATGGTGCATTGTTGCTTTTGTGCTCATTGGAGGACTGGTGATTTCGTCTAGGCTTAAATGCATGGTTAAATTTTGAGGTGTATTCACTGAATGACAGATCTATCTGGCTTGCTTCCTAGATTGCTGCGTTTTACATATGGGCCTTCATTTCCTCCATTTAAAATTCCTGATGAAGATGCAGGTCTGATTCCTCCTGAAATGGATAATGAGTGCATTGCTCAAACATGGTTTCGCTTTTTACATATGCTGAGGTATTGTAATTACAGCCATACATTGTTCATGTCCTTGGATCCTTTTAAAAACTTGTATTACAAATGAAAAATTTTTCTGGGGATTGGTAACATTAAGTACTTTATAAATAGAGACGAGCATGAGAGACTTGTTGTAATAGTGCCCTGCAGCAGTACAGGGCAAGGTTGTGAGTAGGAATTGTTCAACTTTGAACTCATTGATTCTTTCACAGTATGAACTGGTTTGTTTAATTAAAAAAATAGTTTGTAGCTATTAGGCCTTTGGAAGACCTTAAAAGTAAGACTTCAGTACAATTCTGTTTCTTTGAGATAGCAAACAGGAAGAGCAGAACAATAGCACTGAGAGATGTATGCTGCTTCCATTTACTTGCCAAGGTGTTAAATTTAACCTACAAAAGATTATTTTTAAAGTGGGTGTATGTCTTTATTTTTATGAAGAAGGCTATACAATTAATTTTAACATCCGTGTTACTTTTTTTTTCTTTTTAAATATGTAACAGCACCAAGTGACATGCTCTGCTGTTTTAAGGTTCTTTGGAACTGCATCACTTTAATGTTAATTTATATTAGATGCTCTCTTTTGTTGCTGTTTGTTTAGATAGGTCTAAAGTTACTGCATCTTTAAGCCATCTTAAAATTCTAACAGCTCTTCTTAAACTGACTAAAATATATTTTGCTCTCTTCTGTGTGTGCAGTAATCCTGTGGATTTGAGTAACCCAGCCATTATTAGCTCTACCCCCAAATTTCAGGAGCAGTTTCTGAATGTGAGTGGAATGACTCAAGAACTGAATCAGTACCCCTGCCTTAAACATCTGCCTCAAATATTCTTTCGTGCCATGCGTGGGATCAGCTGTTTAGTGGATGCATTCCTAGGTAACGTCTTTTGTGTTATCTGTGAATAGCTAGGAATAGTAGCCTAATCCTTATTTTACTCTTTTAAAATCTGAATTCTTCAGTAATACAGGTGTAACAATCTAACTTGTCACTTGCAAGTGTATCCTGGGATTGACAGGGAAAGAACCTAAAATCACTTTTGAACGGCCATAATTTTAAATAAACGCCCGTAAAAAAAAAAAAAAAATTAAATAAGTCTAAAATAAAACCGGACATCCTCCTTCCCTAAATGAGATTTATTTCTCTTTCTCTTTACTCCGCAATGCAAGTTTTAGGCTTTTAGCATGTTATGAGCACTGACAACTTTGTTTATAAGCTTGATGGCAAAAGCTGTGTGCAGCGCTTGTTTTTATAAGGTATTGATTCTTGACTGGCATCTTTAGATATTTATACTGCAAATATCAGTTTCACTTAGTTTAGGAGTAGTGGGTGACAAGTGCTACTGAGAAGAAAAGACGTGTTACTTTGTGCCTACTAGTAATTGAGTAGTTTAAATTTCAATAAAAGGTAAAGTAGATGTAAGCACAGACTGGTAATTTTTAAATAATACTGTAGAGCACTGGAAATCTAAGGTTGTATCCTTACTACGCTTCATGCTTATTGAAAATTCTTTAGAGATAATATACTGTTGTAAACTCTGAAGAACCACCTATCTCCTATTGCTTTTTTGATTCATTATATGCAAACAAATGTTATCATCTGCCAGAAGTGTGAATTGATAGGAGACTGTAGAAGACTTGAGCAGATATAGAAACTGAGTTCAGAAAAAGGTTGGCTGCAGAATTAGACTGTCGGATTTTACGCGCTGTTTGTTTTTTGGAAAATCCCAAGTGATTCAGTCCTTTTAAACAAAGCACCTCAAGACCCTCCTGTCTCACTGAATTGTAAGAGGCATTTTTATGGGAAATACATGCTATGTTGCTGTAGAGATATTCCAAGGAAAAAGGATTATTGATACTTTATTGCTCATTGCAAACAAGGTTTTGTTACTATAAATTTTATTTTCCTTTATTCAAAAGTTACTAAGTGGTAGAAAAGAGCAAATAGTAATTTTTTGCTTCCACCAATTGTGGTTGTTCTAGATGGTTTGAAACTCTTACTTAGACGGAGATATTGAATCTTAAAACTTGTTGCATCCACTGTGCTTCTTCCAGATGTCTTGTCACTAATTTTAAGAGTTGAATGATTGCTCTTTACTAACATTAGATGTGAGATTTAAAATATTCAGTAGTCTGTCACTTAAATAACTGAGTAGTTTGTGAAAGGAGGGTGGTATAGTTGTCTTAGTGACTTGAAAATTATTTTACTCCTATGGGCTAAAATGTGAAACTTTTTTTTTGTGAACAAATCATTGAAGCATCCCCTCTGTCATAGATAGATGTACAGGGCACTATATTGTGTTTGCATCATGTTACATGGTAGCAACCACCCCTATTTATGTTCAGGATCTAACTGACCTTCTATTTTTAATTAACCTACTAAAAATGTGGAAATAGTAATACTAACAAAGGTAATATTAAGACTAAAATGTGAGCTGCCTAGAAAAGGATAGCCCTTACACATGTATGAGAGCGGGAAATGAATGAAGTTTACTGAGATGCTTCCTTGTCAGATTCCTGTTCAGACCTTACCTTACAGGGAAAAGCTGTGTCCCTTTGGGACTGAGGCTACAAAACCACAGTCAGAATACAAGCCTTTTCTTAATTTAATTAAAACCAATATTTTCTATTTTAATTGAATGCAGGCCAAAATGTAAGATAGAAACTTCCATCGTGGCGTGAATGAATGGTGTTTGGTTTTTGAAAAAGGGGCAAGCATCTATCCTCTTCCTTGAGGACTTCTGATTCTCTTAACTGTACTCATGATCCTTTGATCTGATATGTGAAAGCCTAGACCACTGCAGCTTTAAGTGCTGAAATGTTTTTTCCCTTCAGCAAAATGGCAGGAGGAGTAGTAGCAATCTATACCTCCTTCCTGGGGTCAGTCACCTGGAAAGATCTTCAGTGTTCAGTTTTTTTCTCTTTCAAAACTCCCTGTAGTCATTAGGGTGGACTGACTGAGGCTTGATTCTGTGTTCTCCAGTGTGCAGAGGAGAGCGAGCTTTATTTACTGCATAGCATCTTATTCTTATCTCTGAAGTGGCTTAAGAGTTAGATTAGTCTAGTGTTAAAGATAATCTCAAGATAAACCTGAGCAATATATGGCCTGACTTCACTAGAATGGCCTCCTTGACTTGTTCTGTCAAACTCTACCAAATCCTTTTATTATAGGTAGAAAATCTGCCACGCTGGAACAATAAAAAATGTCTAACTGAAGATTCATATAGGGTATTCCTCTGGAGAATCCTTTACCAGCTCTGTAAGCTGAGTTTTAGAAAGCTGTTAAATAGAGTATTTATTGAGGAAAAGCATGCTGTATCCAAGAGCTTTGTGAAGGTGTCATTGGTAATTAGCACTTATTGGCGATGAAGAAACTGGTTTGTAATGAAAGGCTTGTGAGGAGAGTGTCTTGCAGCAGAAGCGGAGGAGAAGTCAGGCTGTTCGCTTTGCACAGTGCATGTACCTCTCCTGGGATATCTGTTTATGGTCAATTCCTCTTATACCTTAGAAATAGTCTGGGATTCTTCTCTGATATTTTTAATACTGATGTTTGTAAATAGTCTTTTCTGTAGTCTCCATCTGGTTGTGAGAGACTCCATTTCTGCTCGGGAGGTGGTGACCTCTCCGCAGTTATTCATGTGCACAGCTTCTTGTCTAGATGATAGTGGTGAGGGGTGTGTGTAGCTATATCTGGGACTGAGGTCTTCCACACCAGTGAGCTGCAGAGTGCTGCCACGTGCCCCTTGGCAGCACAGACTCAACAGTAAGCACGTTGAGACCATTGTTCTCTGCGTGAGTTTTTGATAGGATATTGAATTGAAGATCTCAGACTTCTCAAGATCTAGTGTAGCTTGGACCCAGAGTATTTGAGAGCCCGTCTGGAGTTCCAAGGTGAAGACTGCAGGCTTTGATGATGCACTCAAGCCCAGCAGAGCTCTTGATGAAATTAAGTTCAAGCTGTACGTGTGGATGAGAGGATGTTCTCAGACAGACTTTAGAATTACAGTATGGGCTCCTTCAGCAAGGGAAGGCTGATGTGAATCTCGTTGCCCTCTATACCAAATGCCGTAGCACGTGTTTTTTTATTTTGCCTTTTCTGATATGTACTCACATAATGTGTGCACTTGGCAAATTACTACAGCCTCCTCTCAAAAAAAATTGTACCAAAGCAATGCATTCCACGGTGCATACTCTACTCTATGTGTGGGGTATAAGACTAACAGTTTAGCGGAATTCATCATGTGCTGTGAAAAGTACTTGGATGCTTTGATTAGCATAGTCAAAAGATCTATATCAGGTTGATCTTCAAGCACATTTCAATTTCCCCTTTAGTTTTCTAGTGGGGCAAGAGTGCTGGTATTCATTAAAATGAGATAGAAGTGATTTGTCGCTTCGGATTTTGCAGAGGGAGATTCTAAATTAATTGCTTCTGATTCTGTGACTAGGAAGAGTAGCTTTTCATACACCACAAGTGTTTCCCTGAAGTTCAATTTTACAGGATGACAACTGATTTAGTGTCTTGCTGCTGGCAGAAAATTATGGCTTGCTCTGCTTTCTTTCCCCTTCCCTTGTAGTGGCTTTTGTACTGGACTGTTCAATGAGCCGATTCAGCTCGCTAAAATGTCAGAAAACTGCTTGGTTTCATTTTAGTCTAGTGTGCTGTGTTGGCTCCGAAGGGCCAGACAAATTCTAGCGCTGTCTCAGAAGAGGGCATGGATTTTATGGTTGGGAAGGAAAGGCAAAAGTGAGTTTTGGTAGTAGTGAGCTGTTAAATTGGCTTTAGCAAATGAACCTTGCCCATTTCCCTCTGACTCAGTCTTCCCATGTGCGTTTCCCCAAGTTCTTAAGTTTTTTTTTTTTTTCCTGCAGCGTTTGCTTATCTAGTGCAAGCAGGGTTTTCTCTTGCCTGTGTATTTATTTATGCTAATAATAAAAGTGGAAAGATATTTTTGTTAACACTGCTCTTTTTGGGAGTGGGGAGAGGTGAAAGAGCTAATCTATTTACAGAAGGCCTAAATATAAATGTGCTGCTGTGTATGAGTTTATGGAAGTCTGGCTTAAAGTTTGCTTTATTTTTTAATCTACAGGCATTTCTCGACCCCGGTCAGATAGTGCACCCCCCACACCAGTAAATAGGCTGAGCATGCCCCAGAACACTGCTATCAACACAACTCCACCCCATAACCGAAGGCATCGGGCCGTGACTGTGAATAAAGCAACAATGAAAACCAGCACTGTAAGATTTCATGCTCTGTATTGAAGTACTTGGTGCTTTTGATGGTTCCTTGGTTAGAGGATATAGATTTCCTTGCTTCTAGCAGCGAACTTGTTCTTCTGTTCGAACAGGTAACTACTGCACATACTTCAAAAGTGCAGCACCAGCCCTCCTCTACGTCTCCGCTCTCTAGCCCAAACCAGACAAGTTCTGAGCCACGGCCACTACCAGCTCCTCGCAGGCCAAAGGTTAACAGCATCTTGAACCTCTTTGGATCATGGTTGTTTGATGCAGCATTTGTTCACTGTAAACTTCATAATGGAATAAATAGAGACAGCAGCATGACTGGTAAATATTGCTGAACAAATATATGTAAATATTTTTTCCTTGTTTTACTGACATTTCCTACCTGCAAGATTAACGTGTGCCTAATCAAAAAAAAAAAAAATCTAATAAAGTCCTGTATTGTGGTTAACCCCTCCCAGCTGAGCCAGCACCTGTTCCTAGCCCAGCAGGTGTTTGGGGCTTAAAATTAAAAAGTCACTTTTTACTATTAAACACTCCATTGTTAAACATAGCAGTCCCAGTTGTGCTAGCAGAGAAAACCTCAAGTGATGAAAATGACGTGGTAAAAGAGTCAGTTTCCTAGCTTAAAGCTTCTCTTTGAGTAACAGCAGCTTTTTGTAGAGACACCTTCAAGTTCAGAAATTTTAACATGAGTCCAGATACTGCACAAAGTGGCACTTCCCCCTGTTCTTGTAGGATGTTGTAAAAGCAAAAATCCTTAAAATCTCAAGTAAAGTTGTTGCCTTGCAGTGATAGCTGCTACATGTTTCCATGTATTGCTTGATACCCTGATTGTCTTCAGTCCTGAACTGCCGGGTTTATTTTGTCTCCTATGGTTTTGCTCAGCTTTAGAAGTTAGATGTTTTGAGATGTTATAGCAGAACTAGTGCTCTCCGCTCAGAGGCTTTTTAGCGCTCTGCTTCCTTTGGTGATAAATATTCAGAAAAGAGTAAACATAACCAGTCCTCTCCTTTTTTGCCTGCTCTTTGTTTAAAATGTCAAATGCCCATGCAACTTTGCCAAGAAATCTCCCTGTCAAAAGCTCACTGGCCTAAGAAAAATAAAGGAAGAAGAGATTTGTTGCAGGAAGTGAAGTTTATAGGTAGGACTTGATAGCAGCAATTAAACTGGCTAGCGTCCTTGTTCATTGTGTCACGAATCCCTTTCTCCCCCTGCATGGAGAGAATGGGTTTAGGAGTTGGGGTCCATTAAAGGTAACTTTAGGTATGCAACATGTGGTTTTTGGAAGTGGTCAGTCATGGATTTCCATGATAGGAAGTTCAAGTCCCTCTGGAAAAGGCCTGTGACATGTGAATAGAGAAATAAATAGTTGAGTTTAGGAAGGAGTAAGGAATAATTTGAGGGTGTATTCAGTTATATATTCAGATAATACATTTTTGTATTCAAATGTAACTGCTTTTCAGATTGATCTGTTGGCTTTAATTTTGACTTAACCTGTATCTTGAGCAATTTTAATGTAGTACTCAACCTGAAAAGGATATCAGCTGAGATGCTGAGCTTTTTAAAAAATATATTATGACTTCTTAGTTCATCTAGCTATATTACTTGCTTTTGCAACAAAATGTCAGTTGTAATCACAGAAGTATTCATTCATTCGAAACCAAAATGAGTGACTTGCTTCAAGGAGTTCTAGGGCCTTTTGTTAGCCTAAGCAATGTCCAAAGTCCTCCCACAACAGCCAGAAAATTGTCTTATTGCTATTCTTACAGAGAGATTTACCAACTGTTACTTCAGTTCTCCTGTTCCTAGAAACTATAAATAGTGATTTTATTAACTGAAATAAGAAGGTACTTGGAGTTTTGCAGCAAATTTTTATCCCTTGTCCTTTTCCCCTCATGATGGAATGAATAAAACCCACTCAATTCTGTACCCTCTCTGTGCTCATCAGAGCCATCCAGAATGAGACCAGTCCTCTCAGGTCACGCATTCTGCCATTTCTTAGCAGCAAATGGACCGGAAAGAGTTACAGTGGTGGAGACCCAGAAGACCAGTTGTGTTCTGTCCAGCTTTACTAGCAATTTGGAAGACAGAATTTAAGCCTCGTGCAAGTAAAATCCCTCTGAACCTACAAGTGGCACTCGCTCCATTCAGTTTCTTGGGTCCAGTTATTGCACGTCATTAAAAAGTAATGCCTAGCATATTGCTGTGTGTCTCAAGGAGAATGCTATGGCTGTACTCTGGAATAATAACAAGTATCCTCTTGAGTTCTTCTCTTGACATAGGCCCCCTGGCAGTTGGGAGTCATGCGTTTTGTAGTCCAGAGAAGACATGTCTCCTCAGTTAGTGCTTGCCCAATTTAGGACTTCTTGGGGCAAGAATTGCTGGTTTCCACATATCTCCTCCATCAGAAAAGGTATTAAATCCATAGCAAATGCTTTTGAAAAGATTCTAGTCCTGGGTCCTTTTGCAGACTTGGTGCTAATGACAGTGCCTTGAAGTCGGTTCAAAGGAGAGATGGTACTCTTGCAAAGAATGCTTCTTCATCTAGTTCTTCAATAGATCTTCCTTAACTCACTTGCCTTGGTTCCTTTCTTTATTTGATACAGTTTGATTCTTTAGCTTTACAAAACAGGCTGAGTTTATCTATGCTTTTGTTACCTTCAAGCATTTGCATTTGATCTACCTGGAACCTGAAGTTAGTAAAAATTCTCTGCTCAGTGTACTATTCTCTGAAAGAGACGTCCAGCTCCAAAAGTCAGGAAATCAGCCTGATTTCTAGCCTGCTCCCGCCCTTCCAGGGTGCCGTGAGTACCTGTTACCACTGTTTAAAGTACTGTTCACAAAAATGTTGTGACAGGCTGTCAGAATGAGAGCGAACTGGATGTATGGAAGATGGACCCATACTGCTGAAAGTATCTTTGTAGGAATGTACTAAAATCCCGATTGCCTGACTGTCCTGGAGGTCTCAAGGTCAGCTACTAAGCCTCTGCCTTAAATGGCAGAATGTGACAAGACTTCTAAATTGTTAGGCTGCTGTAGTTTCGGTTGATTTGAAGCATCGCCATCTTTTAAAACCGGGCTTATGTCCAAAATGAAGAGTTTCTCTTTTGGTACTCTGTGGAGCTTGATGCTTCCAAGTGAAGTCTTTCCCTCCTTGAACTGTGAAAGGCAAGAGGGATTGGGCTGCGCTGAGGTGGGCCAAGTGAGGGCTGTGCACTGTGATCTCTCCCCATGACATAAGAGGGGCACATCAGTAATGTAGCTGGATCTGCAGGTTGTACCCATCCACCTGCCTCTGCTCAGGTTACCCAATACAGGCATACCTTGAGGAAAGAGGGCAGCAGAGAAGGGATCTCTACTTGTCATAATCCCTACCCTTAGGAAGGAGGGGCAAAAAGGAATCTGCTTCTTCATGTATGACCTCTTTTTGGCTGTAGGTTGGCTCTGCCTGTATATAGCAGTCCATCTCTTATCTCCAGTAGTCTGATACAGTAGATGCTTTGGATACTAGCTGGATATTCTTACCATGTTTGGCACTGCTACTGATAGCCTTTTGCATTAGCCTCAGGAAGCACTGCTATCTTTTTTTTGATGAAAGCTTCAGATAATATTTTATAATTTGGCAGTGCCTGCATTTATGATCAGATTTAATATGTAATATTGTTTTCTGCTGGTCCATGCACACTTTGTTTTCCTTTTAGGTCTGGGACTGCATTTGTATCACAGATTTTTAACAATTTTAAGCCCCTCTAGTGTTCAGTTCATTTCAATGCCATGCAGCTAAGAATTCCTCTTCTCATAGCTCTCTGATATGATTTCTCTGTCATTGCCTGCTATTTCGAGGACTGAGGACCACTTTGCAGTGTCAGAGAAAGAGGTGAAGTATCTTGATTCAGGATTCTGCCTGGTGTTGCAGAGAGAGATCTCCTGCCCTGAAACACTGTGTATTGTCTTCATTGTTTTTCTTATTCCTCTTCCAGTCACATGACACACATTTCGACATGGGGACATTATTTCTAGACTGATGTTCATGAGCTAAATGAGAGCTCGTAACAAATGTCCCCATAGGATGAGATGTAGTCTCGCGTTCTGTTTCAGAATTAAAGAACCCTGCTAATTCAAACTAAGTAGTGTCTCGTCGTCCTCTCTTACAGCAGGTCCTTTTGGGAATTAGGAAGCAAACAGCAGTGGATCAAGGCCGATGTGAATGAGTAGCTACTCACCCTTACTTCTCTCCTTGTTCTGGAGCCTTATGTCTCAGCCATAATTCTTTTATGTCTCTAAAAAATGAAGTCCAGAAGAGTAGGAAAAATGTGTCTGTTGGGAAGGAAAAAACCTGCAACTCTTCATAGGTTCCGAGATGAAAAATACCTGGATGTGAGGAAGGTTAACCTTATTAAGCCAAGAGGAAATATTTTCTCATCTGACACATTTTCATTTAAAAAAGTGCTCCTTCAAAGGGCTAGGAACTGTTCTTCTAACCCCCTTGGCCTCTTCAGCATGGCATGGCTGTTCTCCCTGTGCAGCTGGCTTACACGTGTGTTTCCTCTCTGAGGTGAGACTTGACGCTGAGTGATAGATGACTATTTCTCGTGGCAACTTGCAAGGTTCTTATTAACCCAACGATGCTTCTCGCTAATCAGAAGCTTTTTGATTTCCGTGTTGTTGAAGGACCAAAGCAATATGGGTACAATTTGAAATACAAGAAATACTATTTAAACATCAGGAAAAAACTTTTTCACAGTGAAGGGTAGTCAAGCACTGGATCTCTTTGAAGATACTCAAAACCCAACTGGACAGCATGTTGAGCAACCTGCTCTAGTTTTCCTTGCTTTGAGCAGGGAGGTTGGACTAGATGATCTCCAGAAGTCCTTTCCAGCCTCAAATATTTTGTGATTATAATCACTACCCCTCTGTTGTTCAGTTTTCTTATGTCCTTGGGAAAACTTGTTGTAGTAGCCCTTCCACAATTCAGGATAGTCTGTGGCATTTCACGCTTTCAGTTGCTATGTTTTTTATCTGTTACTCTTTGGATAGAGAAAGACTGCAGAATTATTTTTCTCTTGCATAAGATTACCTGGAGGCAATTTGTATGCTCTGAGTGCTGATCATCTTCACCACCTGGAAAGCTCTCTTCCCGTTTTGTCTTTGAGCCCTGTCCTTGAATATAGTCTTATGTAGTTACTTGGATTCTGATGTGAAGCAGTGATCTTGCCATCTTTAGTACTAAAGCTCTTGTGCTCTGAGTGTCCTAGATCAGGGTTTTAGTTTCTGCACTGAGACCTTGATGGTGAAGCTTTATAGCAGGCAGCTACTGAACGCTGTTCTGTATCATGATGAGAGAGGAGAAATGATCTGTTCTGAACTGGGTAGATGGTTTTGAAAGGAATTAGATTTTTCTGCTGTCGTCTTTAGAATTAGATGGCTGCAGGTAGCTTCCCCTTTGGAGAAATAGTTGTTTCATTAGTCTGACACTCAGACTAATGCGTGGCATAAGCAGTTCCCCATGGCTGCTGCTTTGCGAGGACTCCTTCGTAAGAAATGTGTTAGGAAGGTGCTAAGAAGTTATCCCTAATTATGACAGCCCTGGTGTGTGTGTGTGTGTGTGTGTGTGTATGCAGAGCTTAGCCTCGCTGGCATGGTGTGCATCAATTAGTAGGGAAGTTTGGCTGAGCAGTATATGCTGCTACTAATTGTTTTTCAAGAAATTCTAAGAATTAGGAGAAACTCATTAATCTCTTGGGCCAGCATTTCAGTAAATGAATCCTGCAATCTGATGGTCTTGTTCTTAATCCTCATACCTAAAGAAATAAGTTACAAGCTTGACAGCTATTTATTTTAAAGCCGTTGTGTGGGAGTTTTACCTAGAATGGTTTTTGGTATTACCTAGGCGCTACTGGTCAGCAAGGGAATCCTAGAGTATAGTTTTACCCTCATCTTTTCTAGCCCTTCTCTGTCCCTAGTATGCTGTCCCAAAGAACGTTTTTGGGGGTATAGGAGCCAATCATGAGGAACTCTGATTAGGGAAGTCTTGAGTATTGCTGAGGGGCTTGGTCACAGGTCTTGATCTGACCCAGCACGTTCAAAGAAACAGCTCTTGTGAGGTAGGTAGTTTTCCCTCTTGGTTACTAGCTGCCGGAGTTTTTCATCTTTTCTTTCTCTTGAGATTGTTTTTGAGATGTTGACCTTTCTAGTAGTGGTAGTATTCTTCCTTTTATTTCTGCTTTGGAAGATTCTTGACTGAGCTGGAGGTTAGGGTAGGCATGCTCATCTCTACTGGGGTCCATTAGGGGTTGTTAGCCATTTTGCTAATGGAAGATGGAGCTGCAATACTGTCAGGAACTTATGACTGTGGAAGCAGGAGTGTTGTTGGGAGAAGACTATGTAGGTAAGTAATTTTCCCCTTATGAGGCATACTCCAAGTCATACAAGCTTTATTATAGCCAAGTATATACTTAGAGTACAGCATAATGTAGGG